AAAATTGAACGTCTGATGTGAAATAGACATTTTTCTTCTGGAAACCATCAAGCAAAAGTAGAAAAACAATTTAATTTCTATATAAGAAACAAAATAATTCAATAATGAAGATAAAAATATTTCATTTAAGATATACGTATATGTATAGACTGGAAAATCAGTAGACTCCTTATTATACGAATTCCAATTATATAAACTATTTGTGCTTTGACAAGTTGTACAAGTTGTGGTTAAACATAATGTGTCAAAATGTCATCGTTTTTAGATTCATGTTTCATGTGTTCAATCCACTAACTTATAAAATACAATTTTTTACAAAGTTTTTGAAAGAGTAGTTCTTGAAGTATTCTCATAATAATTTTTCAAATTGTAGAATCTCTATGCATTGGTCTGCGAAAGTATTCGGACGTTCAATGATCAATATTTTAAATTATTATAACTTCGTGAAAAAAAAAAATTATTTGTAGGAAAATTTAAAGTGCAGAATCGAAGTATAGAATGTGCATGATGTGAAGAAAAGTATATAAAATATTCAAAGTATAGTGCCTTATGCAAAACAATTTTCCACCGAAGATGTATTTTCTGAATTCTATTCTCAAATTAGCCATAATCTACAAATTCTCCGTAACCTACTGATTTTTTTAAAAATATTATATTACTTCTGACGTTATATATAATACGATGTATTGATTTTGTAGAGCATTTTTGGAGAAGAAATCCGTGATTTACGACGCGAGAAACGAAAATGGCAACCATTGAACATAATAATCTCTTTGATGCCTCAGAAAAGCATGTCACTGGCTGAAGCATACGCACAAATTGATTTACATGTAATATGCACTGATAAGTATCCTGATGAGTAAGTATAATTTTAATTTATAACTTTTTAAAATTATGTTCTGTGATGTTTATTTGATAATGTTCTTACATTATATATATATATATATATATATAAAATTTGAAATAAATGATTTTTGGCTATGCAAAAATAAAATTATAGTAAAAAGCAAATAAATTGCATTGATTTTAAGATCTATACAAACAGATATATAAATATTTGTCGGATAATGTTCGATTTTCTAGACTTTTAACATAAAGTTGATAATAAAAAAAGTGATTAGTTAGAACAGAAATGCAGAGTTGAGCATTGTTTGAATTGTTTTAAACAAATGTTTATCTAAGATGATTATTCGTAACAAATTATTCTTTTTATTTATACGAATAATTTGTTTGAATAATAATTGCAAAATTATTGAAATAACAAAATACAAATAACGGTTTGTTTTTACTTAATTTTATACGAGAGTTTTTATATACATAGATGCATTAACAGCTATGTTCACAATTAGTTCAATTTCTACCATTAATTTATCAAAGAAAAAAAAATCTTAAATAAGTTGATTATCTGTAAATCAGATAAAAAATTTCAACATGTTTCAAAAAATTTAGAACATTACAACATGAAACAGTCTAATTCTTATCTTTTTATATAAACGAAAATTGGATAAACATGCAGTATGCACAGCTGCATATGCGAGATTATAAATGTCTGTATTATAATTCAGTTAACAATATTTGGGTTTAGGTTACTGTCTTTAATCTGGCAACATTTGCACAAAATGTCACAAAAGAACAACATATGCATTTGCGAATGTAAAATTTTCATAGAGGTCATTTGTTTGTATATATGAATGCAAATATGAATGTAATTGTAAATATGAATGCAAACATGTATTAAACCTAATCTGTATAACTTGGTGAAGTTATATAATGTTTAATACAAGAGTATTTTTTAATAAATTACTTGCAGAGTACCAAATATACAGTTAGAAAATAGCAAAGGTTTATCTCATCAACAAGTTGCAGTATTACATAATGATTTAATGCAGCTAGCAAAACAATTACAGGGGGAAGTAATGATCTTTGATTTAGCACAACATGTTCAGATATATTTGCACGAGCACAATAAACCAAGCTATAGTAGCTTTTATGAAGAAATGGTTTCTCGACATCAAGAAAGGATCGAACATGAAAAATTAGAAAAACAGTTGAAGGAAGATAAAGAAAGACAGGTTAGATACGCATGTTTTATATGTACATATATCATATTATAATAAAATAAATAAGATCATTGTCAGAGTTCAGTGTCCAAAATCGCTGTATATAGTGCAATAATTCTTTTCTTTTTAACAATGCAAATTATAAATTATGTGAATTTATGAATATAAATGAATTATTGCCTATAAAGGATGTTTGATGTGCCAATTTTATAAAGATATTTAATTTATATATTTATGTTTTTTTACAAATTTTAAGTCAATTTCGTGGTGTAATTTACGATGAAACGAGTAAAATGTATTCTGCAACTACTATATTTGTTATAAAATCAGGAACTTCTAAAATAACTGTATTCTTTTTTTTATAATTGTGAATTATTGTATAACTGTAGGAAATCTTTACTAATCCCTAAAGTGATATTGTGGGTTCACTATAGGTGACTATAGTAATTTGTATTACATTACAAAAATTTAGATTATTTAATTTTATATATTTTTTGTATAGAAATTAGTAATAAAATTAAATCACAACAAATTCCAAAATTAAATAATTTATTAAAAACATAAATTTTATAGCTTTGAATATCCAATGATATTCCATTTAAGAATTAATATCAATTTTTTTTTAATTTTCATTGATCACTTTAATTTCTTACAAAATAATTTTAAACAAGAAAATTAAAAAAGATTAAATGAAAAACGATATCTATGTTAGAGTTCTACGAAAGAGTTGTACATTAAATGAGCAGACTATTATTAAAATCTATTATTCAGATATAGATAACCGAGTAACTACTGTATTGATACTTAATATTATTGAATAAATTGAAAAGAAAATGATTGTTTGACAGTTATTAATATATACTTCATTGATGCTCTTATTTTGAAAAGGAACAAGATAAAATAACAAGGGATAACAAGGAATAAGGAAAAAGATAAGATAAATCCATAATTTGAATTACTATATACAAAAAAATTAAAATTTTTGTATTTTTCATAAACCTAGGGAGCACCCGAAAGACATGTCAGACGTCAAGGATAGTGGTTCTATAAACTGATACAGAAGACAAACCAAATCTCGAAGAAAATTCTGCCCTGTTGCCAAATTTTCGACCATCAAATCCAGTCAGGTATCGTTGATAAGCAATCAAAAATACAATAGATCCCATATAATTGATTGTGAAACCAATCTGTTTATAATTGCTCTGAAAAGTACGTATAAAACTTGAACAGTTACAAAATACAATTTCCACGAGTCCATGATGAAATTGTTAATTCAATTGAAATGAACTTTTCGTTATAAATATAAGAGAAGGATTATAATTTACCTGTTATTCTAATTGAGTATCAAAAGCTAGATAATATATTATTATACCATCTTTTCTATTGTGCGATACACAAAATATTTAAAATCTTATTCTGATATTAAAATGTAATATAATAGTAATATAAAAGTGAGATAAGAGCATGGATTTTGAGACTTAAGATAGTATATCACTATCGGTCATTTTAATCCTTTACAACATAAAAAATTCACACATTGTTCTAACATTGTTTAAAAATATTATTATCTTTTCAATGCAGGATTAAATAAGTACAAGATTAAATAAGTATAAATACAGATAAATAAGTATAAATAATATATATATATATATATAAATGAATAAAATAATGTTTCTCATTATCAAGAAGCTTTTAGCATTAATAATGAATTTTCAATTATTCTCATTCATGTTTGAACTCTGATTCTGAATGATCAACTCATATATACATCTCTCACAATTGTTTATATATTTATATACAGTATGTCTGGTTGTCAGTATCGTTCATATTTCTCGAGATATTTTACTGTTCACAGATAAACTGATAATTTATATTTTTAATTTATTTTCTCATATAAAGATCTTTCCTTCCCCTCGATTAGATAAAAAATTAATTCATAAAATAATTGAAGAAATATTAAGATAGCCACTATATTTGCTTTTCATACTGAATTATTTTAGGAAAAAATTATGCCAATAAAATTTGAAAAATTTAATTTAGTTATTTAATTTTAATAAGATAATTAAAGTTATTTTTATTCGATAAAAATGGCAGATCAAACATCCTTAAAATATTGTTCTTTATCTAGACAATTTAAACCTATTATCTTCAGTTTTTTTTTAAATTAATATTTATTTATCCATGTTACAATTTCTCTGTAAGTTACTATTTTTCTACAAATATAATTTATTTATTCATATTATTATTAAACAGTTTAGAGATATATTTGTTCCAATTTGGATTATATCCACAAAAATATTGCAGATATTACAGGATGAAATTCAAAAAAGACAAGAAGCTTTAAAAGCTGAGCGGAAAGAATTTATTCGTTTATATAATGAACAAACAAATGATGCATCTCAGTCAATACCATCTTCTTCGTCTCCAGAGAAATCACAATTTTTATGCAAACATAAAGGCACGAAATTATTAAACTTCGATCATCAGAAAGGTATATAATTTATTGTATTTGTATTCTATTGTAACAGGGAAAATAACTAAAAAGTCTAAGATTTGAGCGGAAAAGTAACTTAAAATTTAATTTTGATGATATAGTTGTATTATGATACGAAAAAAAAAAAAATAGAGAATATTCCAGAATATTCCATTTGCATTTTTACACGTAATCTTTACAATTATTCATTATTCGGAAAAGTGTTTGAAATAAAACTTGTTTTATTCCGATTCTGAAATCTCGAGATTACCTACACTTTTTTAAATGGAATCATATATTTTTTCATGCATTAATCATACAGCTTGACACTTTTTAGAAAAAAAATATTAATCTATGTATATCGAAAAATTATTAGTTTAGGAGGAGTATTTCAACTTTAATTTTATGAAATTTATGTGCGGAAGATAGCATGTCATACAATAAATTTTATAATTTTAGCATATAGATTAGTATTTTTTTTTTTTTTTTTTTTTTTATAGAGAATGTCGAGCTGCATCAATTAATGTATAAAAAAAATATATAACTCCATTTTAAATATATAACTCCATTAAAAATGTCTCTATCCAATATAGTAAACATCATAAGATGATCAGTTCAAAACAGTAACAACTTTATTTGAAATAATTTTTACAGTAATGAATATTTTTGAAGATAATTGGATACCTTGTTTATAAGTTATGATATATGTATATCTAAAGAAAAAATTGAAGAAGCACTTGCTTTACAGTCAAAATTCAAATGTAATGCCATGAAAAATGCCATAATTTTATAGAATTGAATTTTATTACAATTAACAAAAAAAAATTAATATAATTTTAAATTCTACACGAATGTTTAATATTGAAGAAAAAATGTTGAAGACAAACCTTATTTATATATGTATAAAATATCAATTTTAAGTTTCCTTTAGTACGAGGAACAGCATCTGTTACTAATAAATATCTTGTTTATATAATAAAATGTAGTAGGATAATAAAGCATTCGGATATTAGGATATAGGAGGTTTGAGTATGGGGGATAATGGAGGTTTGAATATAGGAAATTCTACTGTATTAAACATTATTTATTGAAATAGAAATCAAGAAAGTTGTCAAATATTTAAGGATTTCATATTTGTTTGCTAAATTATGTGAATTTTTTAATATTATGTAGAGTTATATAATTTTCGTGCCTTAAACCTTAAACCATTGAACTCCTTTTTCATTTTCATTTTGTATTTCATATTGTTGTATTTTTAAAAATATTTTTAAACTTTTTAAACTTCTTCCAATATTTAAAATTAAACATTTTAGTTTTCATTGTTATATTGTATATATATTGTTTGTGTGTATGTGTGTGTGTAAACTTGTTTCATATTACAAATAATTATAATAAAAATTCATTTCATTGATAATAAAACATTTAAATATAAAGGGTAATAGAGTTCCAATAAAAAACTATTTGATATATTGCAGTAAGTGCATTTTATTGTATAAATTATACAACAAATGATTTGTTATTGAATTATTGTGTTAAATTATTGATCTTGAGATTATTTTTTTTCTTTCTTTAGTTACTATATTGTTTCCGTACTGCTATATTCTTTGGATTATTTCTTATATGTATTATTTCTTATATTAATAATACATATAAAGAATGCATAAAGTTAATAGTAGTACAATTTGCATATTAAATTAATGATACATAAACCTAAACGTAAAATATATTTTGTAATATTCCTATAAATGTTGTATTTACATATTTTGACCAATAGTGAATTTATAGATTAACTATTCCTTCATCAATTTCGACGATATATTTTTAAATAATCGGCATTTTGAACAGCTTTTGGATATTCATAGATACATTACATCAAAAGCATTAATTCCCGATCGATATTTTCATTTTTATAAAAAGAAAAAAAGGTGTTCAAAATGTCGATTTCATATTTAAAAATCATCGAAATCGGTTATAAAAAATTACAATGATATATGTTCAATACATAAACAATAAATAAATTAAAATTAAAACTGAGTTCAAGTTTTGAGCTTTACAAGTTAGAGATTCTAATGTTTAAATCTTTAAGCTTAAATTTAATCCACCTAAACATAATAAAAACATTTAAGTATTATTTTATCAGAATATGCAAAAACTCTAACGTGAATGAAAATAAGTAACACATTACTTTACTAAATAAATAATTATTTTAGTAGTTACTAAAAAAGAAGAGGAGTAGTACAATTCAAGCTTTTGTGTATGAAAAATGTCGCAAAATTATTGCTAATTTTTTAAATTGAAGGACCTTAAGGATTTAAATAGCCTTAAAGTCAAAGTTTTAAACTCAAAGTTTTATAAACCTGAGACACAGTTTTAAAATACAGTCTTTAAAATTCACAATTTTATATTCCTTCATAAAAACAAAACATTTCCATTGCTTTAGAACTTCTGCATAAAACTTATGTGTTTGAAAAAATAATTAAATTTTTTTTGTAATGTATAATAATTTTTCTAGAGGAACGACAAGTATACAGAGGAAAATGTATGGGACATAGTACCAAGGGATCAGTCGTTTATGCAAGTGTAGATATGACAACTGGGGAATTGTTTGTAATTAGTGAGTGGACATTAAAAGTAAATAATAAAACTGAAGAAAATAATATTCAGCATATTATGAAACAAGTAGGAAGTTTAGAACAAGAATTAAATCATTTACATAAATTACATCATCCAAATCTTGTTCATTATTTAAGCATGAAATACCTGCAGGAGGAGGAAAATGTAGTTATTTATGTCCTTCAAGAATTTGTGGTAAGAGGTATCTGATATTTAATTATAATTTCTCTGATATAAATTTTACTAATATTAAATTATATAAATTAAACTTCACATATTTAAATAAACTTAATTCTACAGTTATTTTAACATTTCAATATTTACAATAAAGAACATTTATTTTGAAATTTAGAAAAATTATTAAATTTATAAAAGAATTTTATGCATTAATGATATAAATTTTTTAAAAAACGCATATGGAAATGTTTTATCATGTATATGTAATTATTGGATTTCAGGCAGGCACAAGTTGTTCCGTTTTTTTATTGGAAAACATTCCTGTGAATATCGATTTCCTTCGATATCTAGCAAATGGTATTCTCTCTGCTTTAAAATATCTCCACGAGAATAATGTTGTACACAAGGATCTACGGGATTCTAGTGTCTATATTGATAACACAGGAGTAATTAGAATATCAGATTATTCTCTAAATAAAAGATTATCTGATATTTATCAGACACATGCAACAATTAATCCTGAGCCAAATTTTCCAAGTATACAAGGCAGAAGTGGAAAAAAAGCAGATATTTATCGTTTTGGTGTTCTTATATTTTCTTTATTAAAAGGAATCATAGTTTCTGGAGATAAAATTGATCCAACAAAAATTGTACAGGTATGTTTCTTTACGCATAAATAAAATATAAATGATAAATTTGTGACACATTATGTACTAGTAATGAATTTATAAATACAAGATACAAGCACTTGCTCATGAATGTATTTTGATAAAATTTTAAATAAAGAGTTTTAAGTAAGAAAAAATTAATAATATTATTATATATTCGTGTGATACATATGATACATGTTTATTACTCAACAATTCCTGTTACTTTTATTAATTGATAATTCAAATAATAATCAAATAGTTTAAAATCTGAAATAATGATTACATTATTTTATCTTCAACAGATTTTAATCTGTTCATTATATAATCTATGATTTTTAGTTAAAGATTATTGTTTTAAATTGATATGTAATTTAAAAAAATTAATATTTAAAAAGAAATAAATCACATTTTATACATTTTCTTTTTTTGACGAAGAAATCAATATTTTTTAATCCTTTCAGCCTAATCTTCAAGATTTCTTGTTAAAGTGTCTTAAAAAAGATGAAAGAAAACGTTGGTCAGCTGAACAGCTATTAGAGCATTCTTTCATAAAAACACCTTTAATCCATGTATCACCATTAAATTTACCAAATTTACCACAAGAAGATGAAGAGAAGAAACATCAACCAGAAGAACTTGATACAGATATTAGACAATATGTATCATCGTTAGGTGGTCATTCAAGAATTGCAAACGAATTCGAAATTCTTGAATGGCTTGGTAAAGGTGCTTTCGGTGATGTTCTAAAAGTAAAAAATAAGCTGGATGGTGGAATTTATGCTATTAAGAGGATAAAACTGAACCCAAAAAATAAACAACTTAACAAAAAAATTACAAGAGAAGTGAAATTGTTATCTCGAATGAATCATGAAAATGTAGTACGATATTACAATTCGTGGATAGAAAGTGCTGTAATAACTGATACAGTGGAAGAACAAGAATCCAAGGCATCTTCCGAAAGAAAGAGTTCAGAACCGGTTACTGTAATTGTTATAGTTATATACATATATTTAAATTTCAAATTTAATCATTTGAATTTTATTTTATTTCCTACTTCCTTTTTCTGAACATTGAAATACTTTATATTTTTTTTTTTCATTTTTAAATAATAAATAATAGACTTGATATCTAAGATTTAATTTCATAACTTAAATTTACAGTTTTTTAATTTACAGAAATTGTTAATAAATGCAAAAGTTATTTTGCTTATTTATCTTCCTGTCGAGTCGACTTAATAAAAAATATATTTTAATTAATTTATTATAGTTATAGTATAATGTCTATGTATATTTAAATTGTAAATAAGCAAAAAATTTTGTCAGAAAGGAAATTAATCAATTTCAAGCTGTTTATAAATTACAATAATTGAAACGCGCTATTTTTTTCATATTTTAAGTTAAATAATATTAATTTATAATTTCTAACTTCTTTCTAATTTAATCTGTGATTCTTATAAAATTAAAATTTAGCTATTGCCTTGTGATTACTTTAAATAAATATTTATTTATTTAATAAAAAATTCTAAATAATTATTGAAAATAATATGAAACATCTGTTTCGATTTCAAAAATTTTAAAATATTTATTTCTATACATTATATCAAGTAAAGAAACAGATTATATTTATATACATAGTTAATTTTGATATCAAATACAATTATTGAATTATAATAATTTTGTGAACTTTTCTTCTAATTTATAATTATGCTTTAGAATTTAGGAACAGATGATATTGAAAAATTTGCATCACCTGAGCTTGAATGGAATGTTTCATACAAATCTCGAACAACTGACAGCGATGAGGATAACAGTGATGCATCAAGTGATACTGACAGTGACGAAGATGTTGCATTTTTGTAAGAGATTAATTTTTGAATTAAATTATTTTTAATTTTTAAAATAATAAATTATAAATTTTTCTTTATTCTTAAACAAAAGTACAAATATTGGTCTCTTTGGTGATGTCTT